TTGTACAAGATACTAAATTTAAAATTAATTAGATATATTCATACAATAATAAATTCTGCGATAATCGATGATTAGAAAGTATTTTAAGTACATTTGTTAATCACAATTTTGTCAATAATGATTATCAGACTGCCAAAATTTTTCTCTCGATAGATATTCTCTATTAGATCTATATCGAGGTTGCGAACATATTTGTCGACTATGTTTGTTCTTCTTTAGCGCACTTGAGATTCATCGGAGAGAGATAATTCCAGCAGCCTCATCCGGAAGATCGAGACGCGACGATATTTAAACCGATTTTTCTCCGCTAACGCGCCGCGCGCGGGACGAGATATTTCTTGCACGACAACAGAATAAGGACGCGCAAAGAACGGCGCACAATGTGCATCCGGTTGGCTCGCTCGACGAGGATACGTTTCGCTTGCACAATGACGCTGATTCAGGATTATTCTCCCTCTTTAATTATCCAGCCTCCTCTCCCTCCTTCGCCGCGACGCCCCGACGTAAATGCCGCCGTCGTCATCGTCTTCTCTCTTTTGCTCGCGGGAAGGACAGAAAGTCCGGCGCGCGGCGCGATAACGAATTATCTTCGAGAACACGCTTCTTGGGGCAGGAACCGGAAATATTGCCGGACGATAATGAGACGATATCTCGCAAGAACCGTCGCGTTCTCGACGGCGTTTTGTTTTTTTCCCCGTTATGTTTTTCTTTTTTTTATACACCTACATTAGCCGAGAGTAGATATATGTTTTTTTTTTATTTTCCATCTTTCAAAAATGAAATATTTCAAAGATTTTAATCTTTAAAGTATATATTCTCCGTTAAATAAATCCGTGAAAGCCATATTTATGAATCTAAATTTATCGAATATTGTTTTGTGAAATTTTTCTAAAAACCGCGCTACACATGTGTTACAAGTGCGATAATGTAACGACAAGGCATTCGAAGATAGCACGAATCGGGGACCGATCGGAGTCATCCTCGCATGTAATGTAGCGACTCATAAGCCCGCACGACATATGCACACATCTATTTGCGTAATTACCCGTATGCTTGTATTCGCGTGCGAGATTATACATGTCTACATAAACGTAACACATTCGCACGTTCTCCTTCGCATAGAATTCACCATCGCCTTCCGTTCACCACGCGCTTAAATACCTACGCGAAACAAGTATGCCGACCGTGAACGTAATCTTTGAACTGCTATTAGCTCCATCAAAAGTATTTTATTTAATGCCATCCGCCATTCTCCGATCGCGTGCGGATCCGTGACACGATTCCGACATAATTCTTTATTTTTTTTTTCCTGAATCTTGATCGGCAGAGAACACCGATCGGCAGAATGCAGCGGCGCGATAAGCGAGAATGATAGAGCGCTTACGAAGAGCTTCCCCACCCTTCGTTCTTGTCGTATATCGCGACACAAATGCGAGGACGTTATTCTTGTCACAATTATTTTATATGGAATATGTGTCACATTCTACGTCGTGAGGCAGAATTACAGACGAGCCCGACATTTTGCGTCACGCACAAGATTGCGAATCTTTTTATCTCATTCGAAGTTGTCATTAATCGTAATTATGCGACAGCTCAATTTAATCAAGTCCGCAATGGCGGAATTTTTGCGTAAGTGACAGATACGCTTCGTCTCTCGCGATAGAGGTATACTTTATTCGCGCGGCTATATTTATCAGATGTATCGCGTGCAGAGACCGCGCTCGTAATTGTTACACGGTTCTTTATACCTTCGTTACACCGTGATTGGTCGAGGTGGATAATCGACTGGGGTCCAACCGCGTTGCGGGGACCCAGTCACCGAAGATCCGGCCCCATTCGTTGCGACGCTTACAAAACGATGTGGAAGCGTTCGTTCCGGAAGAACAAGCCGATGTACCATTGTCATTCTCCGTACTCGACGGCTATTTAATATACGCACGCCTCTATCCCCGTCTCTCTTCGAGTTGACAACGAAGCGATCATACTGATAAGCCTTCGTGTACACTTACGTGTACTTATGTGTCCACTTATGTGGGATATGACGTAAACGCCTCATCTATCCATTCTCAGCGACATTTCTGCGTATCGCGGATGTTGGAGCAGCGAAGAAACTGCTCTTCTTCCCTTTCGTTTACGATACATACATATATTTGAATTATTGTGAGAATAATTAAATTTCTCCTAATGATCTCACTCTCGTGTGATCTCACTCTCGATAAAGTTTATCGTTGATTCCCGATACCGATGTATATTCAGCGTCTCTTTGACGAGGGGCTGCGATGTCCGACGACGCGTAAAATCAGGGGCGATTAGTCGGAATGCACACAATTAGCACTGCAGCCGCTCGATGCGGTATTACATTCCACGCGACACGCACAGACGTGCAGTCGGATAATAGTTTTTGCCGTAGATCTAATATCCGGTGTTGTCAACTAAGAAATTCACGTTTAATTATGCGCGATAGATGCGCCGAATCGCGAGTTTCCTGAATCGATTTATAGATTGATACATTTTTGTTGCCGAATAATTATATGCGATGTATGCTTTATTCAACAATTAATATTTATATTTGATTAGCAAAATATTAGATAATCAAATTATCAATTAATATTATAATATATAATATTATAATATTATCAATAAATTACGGTTTGTTATTATATTTTCATGAAAATATAAATAATATGAACAAAAATCAATTATGATTATTGGAATTAAATTTTGGGTAATGTATCCAGCAAACAGATCCTTAACGAGAGTTTGAGAAATGCTTCGTTCGTCGAGGGTTAATTGGGGGTGAACCGACTCATCTTAGACAGATGTCGAAAACCGACCACAAAGTTCATAAGGCCGTTATCCCTTTATTACGACTTTATGCGACTAATCTCAAATTTCTCTAAGTCGGCGTAGAACGTGGTCGTTTTACAACGTTTAACCAAACTAAACGGTCACAACGCGCGCTCTACGATAATTTTGAGATGTCCACGTACAACATAAGTGTCATTATCGAATTTGATTATTTTACACAAATTTAAGCATTTACATGAATATCTTCTCACGTAATTTATACAAAATTTACGATTATATGAAAAAAAAATCGACGACCGCTTTGATACCGTTTTTAGATTACGAGACGTCCTTGTTAAAGGTGCGTGCGGCATCGCGAAATCGAGCGTGTGCGAAAACAAAAAGCACCGCTTGTTGCCGATACTAGTGATGTCTGCGGCCCCGAATTCACCGAACCACAGAAAAAAAGATATTTTCCGCCCGTAGACACCAATAAGAGAGCGAGTTCCCTTCCCTCGTTTCGTACTCACAGCCATCAGCGCGCGAAATGTCCTCCCCGCCATCGGGCCTTTGATGTCGAACATTACAGAATACGAAGGATCCCGTCCGGATAGTAGAGAGGAATTTTCGACGCCCTACCACCCCGGTGACCACTCGTAAATTGTCGCGCTTTCTTCTCACCCCCATTACCTCTCGCGCTTTCGAAACTCGTGTGCAAAGAGAGGAAACACTCTTCGGCGTCGTTCTCGCACTTCAGCGGACGATCGTCGGCAAGAACGTGCCGACGGGGTGGCCGCCCTTGTGCCCTCCCCTTCGCGAGACTGGGAAAACAATTAAGGGAAGGCGAGGCGCCGTGTCGCCTTGTATGATAATGCGTTGTAACCTCCGGCACAAGAGAAACGATACGGTAAAGGAAGAGGAGGATTACACGGCGCGATGGGGGTGAGCAGGAGGAATGCATGAAACGGGTTTGTTCAGGTACGCGATGAGGGAGGAGGTTGGAGGGAAAGGAGGATGGGGAGGAGAGTGCGGCTAGAAGAGAATACGGAGTGGTTGGTCGGAGAGGAGGTTAGCGGAGGTCGTGGTTCTTACTTTGCATTCTTTTGTGTATCCTCCTGAAGCCCTCCGCCACCCGCCATCCGCTACTACCCAGTCGTCCTCCTCTCCCTTGAAGCTTGAACTAACGCCCGAGGTTTTAAATGCACTTGTCTACTCCATATACCGTTCATAAAGACACATATGCCGTCTGTTGAACGAGTGGGCACGAGAGCCGAGGTCTTGGAAAGCGAGATAGGGCCGCACGCGCGGGATTGAGATAGAGAACAGCGAGAGATAGAGAACGACAAAAGAAGAACCGAGAGGAAGTGGAAGAGAATGCGGTGCGCGTAACGATATGAAATGCATTTTAAATTCTAAGCATCGACCGTATTACGGGAGAAGATCTCGACTCTTCGTCTGCACAATCCCATGGGTGGAAAGATGAGAACTGCGCGGAAGTTGAAAGAGGAAGCGGCGAGAACAGTGGGCTCTCATGTGATTTTTGTATGGACACACAAGGACTATCTACTACTGTCCGTGGTATCCGGTTTTAATATAGACATCATCTAATATTCCCTACTCTCTGTTATCACACATATTAAATGTATCTTTCATGCATTATATATACTCAAAGAACCAAAAACTTTTACATAATATTTTCAGTTATGAGGGTTTTGCATTCGTAATGAATGTAGAACATATACATATAGATGTATGTCGAAAATTTGTAAAATTAATTTCGCGAAATATAGATCATACTTCGAAAATCTCGATAGAGATAAAATAATAAAATCACTCGTGTATAAAAGCAATCGTGGTATAGAGAATATATGACATTGAATAAATTATAAATTATAAATATTTTAATTTGATTAAACTTTTTATTACAAGACGCTATTCGAAACGTAAGATTTATAATCAATATAATGCAGTGTTCAAAATATTCCTATATGCTTTTAATATTGATTTGTACAGCAGCCAATAAATGTTGTAGCCGAAATATAATAATAGGCGGCGTTAAACGTTCTACATCCGGCTCTACCGTGAAAATATTTAAGCCAGTATATATTATTCGACTTACATACATGTTCTACAAAATTGTATGATCGCGACAAGATTTCGAATTTCAATCGATCGATCGCACAATTTGAGAGTGATAATTAATTTTAATTTACCTCTTGTGTCCCGGTATCCGCGCACCAACCAGCTCTCTGCTACGGCGTCATTCGTCAATCTAAACAGAGAAAAAGTAGTTTTAAAAATCCGAATATACAGACTTTTTAACGAACGGTAATGCCCCCAATTCGTCTTTCTCCCCGATACAATAATAATTACGCTATGAGTACGATATCACGGATAATACGTTCGTAGGAAGCTCGCGTCGCACATTCATCAAATACGGAGTCTCCGCGGCGGAAACGAATGGGCAATTTTGCGAGACCGTTCTTTCGCGCGGGCACGTATAATGCAACATAGGGGGTCGAAGGTGTACCCCAAGAGTGCGTCGATTCAAGGCAACGACGCGCGTGGGAGGACGCCGTGGTGGTCCTTTCAAACGGGAAGAAAGAAAGCCAGGCGCGAGATTCGCGCTTCATTCACTCGCGGGTCCACGGGGGAAAGGCACGGCGCAAAAGGCTCTCCTTCGAGATGTAATTAGCACATCTTTTCGCGACGACACGCAACAATACGGCTTTTAATTAGTATGCGTCCACCGATTTTTCCCGCTACAGCGCCTTTCCGTGCTCTCTCCCCTTCTCCCATCGCACCCCGCTGCTACCGCCCCTTCGTACGCGTAAACGATAACGACAACGAACACACGTGGTCGATTTCACATATATGCACGCATGACATACACACACATCGGGGCGCAGCAACGAACCGAGCGCGTTTATGTCGGCGCATCACACGCTGCTGCACCACAGAAGTGTCAATACGTGGGTGCGTGTACGCGCGCGGCGAACGAGCTCGCGTGCACATACCGGTTTGCATTACGGCGGATATACTCGAGCGCGTAAGGCGTTCCTACGGTATAAAGAGCCGCGACGAGCGTCGACGTAACGACATGTAATTCGATGCGTCGCGCTCGTTTTCCGCTCGTAAATTGCTCGCCATCGCCACAGATGCTCGCGCAATTTCGAAATTATTTGGCAAAACACCGGCAAAGTTAAACTTGGAAGAAGCACAAGAATAATTGTCGAATAGTAAAGCGCGATTTTTTTAGTAATTTTTTTTTTATAATAAAAGTCCGATATACACAATCGCAAATATACAGAAAGAGGAAAAGGAATATATATTTGATTTATCGAGCGTAATTCAAGTATCGTATATCTTAACCGAAATAGATGTGTCGAGATTAAACTAGTTTGCCGGTATCGAAGAACAGATCGAATGCTTATAAATTTGCTAATAATTTTCTTATAGACTTTCGCAGAGCAATGTGTATGCATTGATTTCGATGGTAGAGACAGTTCTATCCATTGCCGACTTTAAAAACTTTATCGTCTGTCACCGATAGCCCATCGTGGCAATTGTCGATGACATGTATAACTCAGGGACACGACGACGAAATAATCCCTTTCTTTCTATATGCGAGGCGTAAAAGTAAATTATGTCACTTTTTCTGCAACTAGCAATCCGATGACGTGCGAAAGTAATGATATGACAGTGTGCGACAACGTCTTTACATTACTCAATTAAGTGCGAGCGATATTTTTTGCAAGTGCGCGAATTCATGCACGCTTCATCGTATCGATATCGGCAAAGGTCACATGTTCAGATGCATATGTTCCTACGTCTTAAAGACTGCGCTTTATCGTCAAACACAACCACCTAGATATAACGCGGGAGAGCGTGACGCGTTAACGCGATACGTCGATCCGCAATTACCATGCGAGCCTCCACTCGCATCCTCGAGACAATTGTAGGGGGATGACGAAGGACACCAATTGCTGATGAGCTAGCGACAGAAAGCTGCACGATTTCCGGGATGTGTGTTAATATCTGATATTAGATCGAGTGTCATTCAGTAATGCGCGCGATTACACGTGATTACGCAGAATGAGGGAAACAAATGCAAGAATATACGATGAGTTGGAACTAAAAACTTTTCCATGTCAGGGAGACAAACGCATTATGATTTACGACAAACCTATATACATATGTCGTTTAATGTGTAACTAATTTCTTACGTAATAATTATTTCGCAGATTTCAAGTAAAGTACGATGCAATTTGAATATTTTTAGACTTTGTCAATAAATCGTAACGTAATGACTGAAGAAAATATCAAATATTCGCGACATGTGAAATAGGAAACTATTATAATTTTAAACACAAAATTAAGTTGTAATAATAATTTTCAACGCGTTCAATACGTCTTTTATTAAACACGTTATGATATAAATTTATAATTGTACGTATCATTCTCTTCATTGGTATGTATAAACATGTTATAATTCCATTTATTTTAATATGAGAAAATAAAGAGTATATTAAATATGCATATGAAACGTTTTACATTTATTATGTTTTATTAAACACTATTTTAATTACGATAGCATGCGATACGCGTCGATCTCGACGGCGGTTTAAAATGTCGCGAAAAGTCGAGTTATATCCGATTTCGAAGCGCGCAATCTGTGTCAATGCCACGATTTACAGTTGCGAGCCTTTCGGGAATTGAACGAATATTGAAATTGCGGGAAACGCACAGAACTTTTGCATAATGAGCTGGCGGCTCACGCCGTCACACGGACACGTCCACGCACACCAATCGCAGCGTCGGCGCGTACATGAATATTTTCATTTGATTGCGTTAATTAAACTCGCGCTACCAGGCGATGACCTTTGAAGTTCAGCGGCACGCGGTACGCATACACCAATTACCGATATTATTAATTGCAATGTGCTCCCTGTTTTCGGCAGTCATTGCGTGGCTGGCGAGATATCCGCGATCTTATGCCCCGAGTTGAGAAAAATCTTTCCTTCTGAAGCATTTTACATACTTTATATTAATGATAGTCGTATTCTTTAATCGCGGTTTTATCGTGTCAATAGTGAATATATGTTTCATCACAAGTGATTGCGAAATGTTCGTGATAATGCGGCATGCATTGTCTTTAAAATTGTTCGCGGTTTTGCGGTTAGATTTTAAACCGATGTTGCAAGAAATTAGAGAGATTTAACGGGGAACTCCATGGTACGATTTGATAAGGCCGGCCACAAGATGACGGAAATTATTGCGAATGTACTTACACATCGAGATAACAGCCACGGAATGTGTTATCATACATGCGGAATTTGTTGTCATGCTCTTCGCGATATAACATATCATTCTATTGCAATATACAATAAATAAAACGATGTGAGTACAGATAAGTGCATCAATAAACAACAATTTACAAGTATAAAATAAAGTGATATAAATAAAAAGAAAAAAATTCAATGTTAATGTAAAAAATACGTAACATGAAGAACTATTGTTAATTCAGATTGTTATTAAAATTTATATTATATATCAATTTTATATTCTCAAAGCTTGTCGGTAATGACCGACAATTTTCGAAATCAAAAATAAACAAAACTATATGTGTTCTCATAGTTATTTCGCTGATAATTAAGATGATGTAAATAAATTGAGCAACATAAAAAGTATAACCAAAAGTGACGAAAATTGTCGCGAAAATTAAGTTTCAAAATCCAAACGCTAGAAACATTATCGATCAACAAATAATAGGTATAATTTAATAATTCAGTCTCATTTATTAAATTTAAGATATACCTATATATATGCTAGCTATTTGTATATCGTAAATTTTCTTGTATTAATATAAACGAAAATTTCCACGGCTAAAGATACTACAATCAATGGTCAAAATGTTCCGGAAACCTAATTGTTTAATGAAAGGATTGTCCGCGCATACAAATACATTGACATTTTAGTTCGCATTGGTCATGCCTGTATTCACATTGATTTTAAATCGAGACGAGCTGTAAATTTTATATTATTTCTTAGATATTTTGTTTTATTTTACACATTAGTTTTTATCTAAATTAAAAAAATGACAAAAAACTTTTGTAGCGAAACGATAAAAGAACGAAAACAATTTTTTGAAACAACAAAATATAATTTTTAAAGAGAGAAAAGGAGAATTTATAATGCAACTTAATTTCACGTATAATTTTCGGACGACACTTCCTTGCCTGGTGCTAACAATTTTCATCGTGCTTTCGAGACCTCGCACCATTCCGTTTTGCTATGAGATCTACCAACCACCGCCGTTAGGGTGAAGCACTTACAGCACAATGAGTATGCAAATAGACCCGGCATTCGGCTACATTTGTTTCAACGAGCTTAGGAACGCCGTCTCGCGCGAAGAAGCAATTCCTTTGCGTAAAGGCCATAAAAGTCTGTCCTGTATTTCCAAATCTTTACAAAGCGAAGGGAGTTACTTTCCGCACGTTTTTATTGCTCGTTACTTTGCCCGCATCGCTCGCTCGACATTGTTTCCATCGTCGGAGTTCCTTTCACGACGAATGACGCTACTTTTTTGCTCAAATATATCGATCGCAAAAGTTTTCCTCGTGTTTCATTCCGCAAACGGCATAGTCCGATTAGATCAAGGTTTCTTCTTCCAAGTCTCTTTACGCTTGTGCGAAAGGTTCTCCTTCGCAAAATTAAAACTTTCTCAACTTTATTTGCATGCAGCCTACTTCGTTACTTCTCCGCGCGTGTCCTGAGAGATTAGGGCCCGACAATTCACAGATCCGACGAAAGTTTTGTCTCGCGTCGCATAAAGCTAACGACGACGATGACGACGACGACGCGTTAAGACGCGTCACAACGTGGCAACAGTCCGAAACTTGGCAAATTTCTGACAACGACGGCCGTTTGGGAGGGCGTTATTCCCAACACTTGCCGGGACATGATCCATATAATAACAGCCGCGAGATTCCTAAAGCCCGATGTATCCCGACTCGTTCGGAGCCCGGCCCAAATCGCTCGATCCGCGCGTAGCTCGATTCTCGAACGATCCTCGAATGATCCTCGAGTATCGCGCTTCAGTATGGGAAACGCTATGTAATCGGAGCTCTTCGTCTACATGTGAGGCTCGTTAATGAGTGATTAAGCTCGCGCAATGACAATCCATTCCCGATTTGAAAAGCAAGTATCTTTTTTTTTTAACGCGGTGGAAAAGAATATGCGCTGACAAAGTGCGTAATGGAATTCATTGCT